CCTCCTATTTCGCGAAACCCACAATCTTTCGAGCTAATTAGCGGGCTAATCTTTCCCCTCGGGCTCTCTCAGGACATAACTAATGGCTACATTGGGCCCTAAAGTCTATAAATATTACCTTCATTGGGCCATTTTGAGCCCAAAGCCCCAAACCCAAAAGCGCTAAACCCTTAACCCTAAAATTTAACCCCTAAACCCTCAACCCCAAATCCCTAAACCCTGGTCCCTAAACACTAAACCCTAAACCCAAATCTCTAAACCCCAATCCCTTAACTCTAAACCTCTCACCCACCAGGTGAGAGCCGCGGAGCAAGTGAAGAATCTCCTGCCATGAGTCGCTTTTTTGGGGCACCACCACGAAGGAGCCGCGCATGTATGGCAGCCATGGCTGTTCGTTGATTGAGGGTTGAGGCTTTAGAGTTTTAGGGTTTAGGGTTTCAGGGTTTTGGATTTAAGGCGTAGGAGTTAGGATTTAAGGTGTAGGAGTTAGGATTTAGGGCTTGGGGCTTCGGATTTAGGACGTACGGTTGCGGGCGCAGGATTTAGGATTTGGGGCTTGAGGAGTTTAAGGGTTCTGTGGACTCTGGTTGGAGTGTATGGGTACAGGAGTTATGGCTTAGGGTCTCAGATTGAAGGTGAAGGGTTTAGGGTTGGAAACCCTGAGGCTTTGACCCTGATGGTGTAGAGGCTTAGGGTTTGGGAACTTTACAAAATTCCTGTTCACACAGAAGACCCCTTTGTACTCAAGGACACACAGCTTCAAGAACAATCTGCATGTAATATGAGTGTGGGCAGCCATAGCTTGACACATGCTCAAGTCAGCCTAGCATCAACCCCCCACCCCAAAACAAAATCTTCCCTGTACATACTTGCTGGCCTTTCCAGGATCATGGTACTGTTGGTAGAGACATTCTTGCGTCACCCGAATTGCCCTGGTACGTCATACAATGACTAAGGGACCCGAAACGGTAAACCCTGCATCATTGTGCTGTTGAATCTCCCTGGCGCGTGGGGCTTCTTGCGGCAACCAAGACTATCAGGGCTATGATCGCCAGGAATTACCCCAATCATGTGCAATGCCCTCTAAGTGCTATGAAAAATTAAGAAGTCTTGAAACTTGAGTGATGCGTTTTTGAGAAGCTTAGCAGGAGAGTTACCCTCTTCAAGTACGAAAAGGAGAGCACAAAATAGGTGCACTAGAATCACTAGTGTTCTTTACCAAGGGGCCGAGAAGCATCTATCTAGCTATCTATCTATCTATCTATCTATATATACATATATATATATACATATGTATGTATGTAAACGCTTTGGCCCTGAACCCTATCTATATATATATATATCCCTATCTATATACGCATGTATATACAAACTTCTATATAAGCCCTATGTCACATAAACCCTTTGAACGCACGGCCCCTGCCCCATCCCCCACCCCAACCAAAAGAAAAACAATTCATGTTTTTTCGAGGGTCTGAATTTGAGAAACAAGCTATCAAAATGAGTCTCAGCTCCTGTACTTGAGATCTGAAAACGCCACATGAGCCATAGTCTAAACTCCTAGTATCCCCGTTAATAGGCCCTATAGCACTATAGCAGTCCCCTATATAATCCCGCATATAACCGCTTTAAGGAGTTTAGCTCAAATAATACAACCCACAAGGCCACTGACTTTCGATTTACGTGATGCTAAATGGGACCCCCCCTCCACCAGGTTGAAAGGACCAAATGAGGATTCTGTGTACTCTCGTTGAAGTGCTTAGGGTTTTGGGCTTAGGCTTAGAGTCTAGGGAGTGTATGGATACAGGAGTTCTGGCTTAGGGTTTCAGATTCAAGGTTAGCGATGCTAAATGGGACCCCCCCTCCACCAGGTTGAAAGGACCAAATGAGGATTCTGTGTACTCTCGTTGAAGCGCTTAGGGTTTTGGGCTTAGGTTTAGAGTCTAGGGAGTGTATGGATACAGGAGTTCTGGCTTAGGGTTTCAGATTCAAGGTGCAGGGCTTAGGGTTCGGGAAGCCCCGAGAAGGATAAATCTGCACAATCATTCCCTCTGCTGGGTTGCTGTCAAGACCCTTAGACTAAGTTACTTTGGGTATCTAATCCTTTCTAGGGTCTCCATATTATAGTGACTCAATTTTAAGTTTCTTAACAGCAGCCCAGTCCTTGGCGATTTTGCTCCCCTTTCGGGGAGTCTAGTTTGGCCCTTCGGATCCTAAGTGGCCGGCCAAGATTTGCCAAATATATCATCTCAACCCCAAACCCTGCAGTCCCCCTTAAGTAGATATGGAATTCCTCAATATCATAGTAAAATCCACATATACCCCACATTGCATGTACTACCTGAAGGGGCCTAGAACCCTCTGGGCTTGGGTCTTTCGTTGTTGGAGCAGTGCATTGCAACTTCCACAAGCAGATGATAAAAGTAGCCAAAGCATGCAACAGAACGGCCCAAAGCCCGCCGAAACAGTTCACGTGTATATATATATATAGATATTTACACTTTGGGAGTCCACGTATGCTTGCACAGGAACTGTGTACTTTTGATTGACAAGTAAACAAAAGGAGAATGTAATTTTCATGTCTACGCGGGACCCTGCAGGCAATATCTCTTCCTCTTGGTTTCAAAAGCTCAAGCAGTAGAACCCTAAACCCTGAACCCTAAAACCTTAAACCCTAAAAGCCTAAACCCTAAAACCCTAAACTCTAAAACTTTAAACCCAACACCCTAGACCCTAAACCCTACAACCCTAAAATTCTCAAACCCTAAACCCTCAAACCTTGAACCCTGACAAAAGCTTCCATGCAATTTCTTTCCATGGCCGCATGAATGGCCGGGGCCGAAGATCTCATCTCCACCGCGCGCCATCACGAAGCTCATCGAGAAGATGCCGCAGCCTTAATATGAGCTATAATCTAAACTCCTTAAAAGGGGGTTATATAGGGGATTATATAGGGGACTACTGTAGGGCTTACTAAGGGGGATACTAGGAGTTTAGACCAGCCTTAATATGAGCTATAGTCCAAACTCCTTTAAAGCCGGGCTTTAGCGCTTAGGGTTTGGTGTTTAGGGCTCAGGGTTTAGGGCATAAGGATTTAGGGTTGAGCTATAGTCTAAACTCCTTAACGGTAAGGGGATTAGAGGATGGAAGGGATTATATAGGGTTTAGGGTTTGGGGTTTAGTATCTTAACTCCTTAAAGGCGTTTAAATAAGGGACTGTCTAGAGAAAATAAGGGACTGTCTAGAGAAGTATAGGGCTATCAAGCGGGATATTTGGAGTGTAGATTATAGCTCAAATGAGGTTTAGAAATGGTTGAATTAAGGCGTAGGGTTTAAGGTTATAGAGTTTACTTTGATCCTTGAGTCCTCAGCCCACACCCCAACCCCCAACCCCAAATCCTGAGAGGCTTACTGGGCTTAGGGTTTAGGGGTACATGGGTTGTTCTCCAAACTATGGATCCCCGTTAGTTCTCTTTGTATTACGGAACCTTATATTTAGTGGTAACAAAATGGGTTCCTATTTTTGGGAACTACCCAGTATAAACCCAGTAAGCATGGGTTCCCCTAGTAATGACCCTCGACTCCCCACCTAACTTTCACCTTAGTTCGCCTCAATTGGATCTACATATCCTTAGACAACCTTACCGAAGCGGGAACCAGGGGGGATGTGTTCTGTCAAGTTGGGGGAAAGCCTGAACCCCAAATCGTGTAGAATTGAAACTCATGAGTTGTCCAATAGCCCGGTTTAGGGTGCACGCTTCCATGTCAATTTGCGGATCTAGGTTCCCCAGTAACCCCTTAATGATTCAGTTTTTGTAAGAAGGAGAGCCCAAAAGAAAGGGGAAAGAGTACTACTGGGCCACCTAGAGATAATTTGCGCCGACTAAGCCTAATTAAGGGGAATCCTATGGGGCGGGTGGCATAGCAAACCCCCAACCCCAAACCCCAAACCCTAGATCCTAAACCCCCAAACCCCTGAATCCCAAACCCCACACCCCAAAACCCTAAACCCTACATGACACTTGGAGGTCTGCAGGAACGGCTCTTTTCTACGTGCGCCTGGTGGGCATCAAGCCGCTGAGGATGCCATGGATGCTGAAGCTGTTGCTCCAACAGCCATCTACAACCTGACTCTTAAAGAGGGTTTAGGGGGTTAGGGTTTAGGGGTGAGGAGGAAAAGAACAAGGTGTGTGTGCGTGTGTACGTATTCTACGGAAAAGGAGAAATGAAGGCTGAACATTGAATGCGAATGAACGGAGAAGGCGCGTTCATACCTATGAATCCTTTGTTCTGGTCATGCGCGAACATAAGGAATGGAGAGTATGCAAAGTACAATGCAAACATGACTTTGTGTCTCATATGTTGGGATCTCGATCTGTGAGTCGAAAGCTTAGGAGGTCCTATAAATCATCTAGGCGTCTACACCTACTTACTGGTTCTCAGTGGGAACTAGGTGAATACAATCCCTATATAATCCCTATATTTCCCTTTATTCACTTCCAAGAACCAATAAGGCCTTAAACCCTAAACCCTAAACCTGTGTAATTTGGATCCCAGACCAGACACCAGGGGCAGTCCAAAACCTGTCCAGCAGAACCGGGGGGGGGGGAGGGTTTTGGGTTTAGGAATGTTACAGCCTACAAAGAGCGCTGAGTCCTTGAAATCGCAACCCTAAATTCGATTCTAAACAAAAAACGGAGCCTAAACGCTTCAACCCTAAAACCAACCGATGCGGACCCTTCGCATGGCTGATTCTGATTACAAGTGGGCAATAAGGGGGGGGGGGGTGGTCTTCGTGAAAAACGATTTCAGGGCTTTGGCTCCAAAATACGACAGACCGACCCCCCATGAGGAGCCCTGTAATGAGATTTTCAGGCAGCCCGGATTCGGGGGCCTTGTTCTCTTTGGGGCCCTGGAAAAATCTGAGACTTTCTCTTCACTCGACACCCGAACCTAAACCCCAAACATAAACCCCTGAACCCCGACTTCAAGCCGGTGACAGACAGCTTGAACCATCGCACCATGTGAGGAAGCCTTTTGCAGGCAACTACCTCACCCTTGGCAATGGAGCCAGTTGATGCCTTGAGATGTGAGATGCAGGGTTCGGATTTAAGGTTTGGAGGTCCGGGCGGTTCAGGACTCGGGTTAGTGTAGGTCTGGGGTTTAAGGGCATTTACGTGCATTCGGGAAACCCCATTACGTAGTATATATACATATTACGGTAGCCCTAAACCCTAAACCCTATATGCCCATTAGGGTAACTTAATTGAAGTAGGTAAACGGCGTCAGCGGCAAGGGCTTTAAGGTCCTGCCCCATACCTTCAAGGTGTACCGGGTTGCTGTTGAGGAACTTAACTCAAGTTACTGGAACTTCGTTGGCCTTTGGAACACTAAACCCTAAACCCTAAGCCTAAATCCCTAAACCTATATAGGTTCCTTATGAAACCAATTAGGGAAAATATTTAAGTATCCCAAAGGCCGACCCAGAGAACAAGGGTATGTAGGGCTTAGGATTTAAATCAAAACTTGAGCGTCTATAACATAGGGTTTAGGGCCTAGGGTTTAGGGCTCAGGGTTTAGGGCTTAGGGTTTAGGATTCAAATCAAGTTAGTAAATTCAGGGTATATAGCGTTTAGGGTTTAGGCCGGAAGCAAATAGCTTATTCATAGATGCATCCCTACGTAGATACCCTTGGGATCTCACGGAACTCACGGGTGAGACTTGCGGCTTCGAGGTTAAAGATATACGCCTCGCGTTCAGGATTGATGTTTTGTTGAGGGGCTTACGATTTGGAGCGTAGCTTTTGAGTTAGCATGAGGTTGAGGGCAAGTTATTAAAAGCTCCAATGTTGGAAATTACTCAGGTTGCTAAAGCGAAGGCTTAGGTCTCCAGACCGAAACTACACCACCTTAGGATTCCCCGTCAGTCAGGCTCTTGTAGCCCGGCTGAATCTAGACTCATGAACGCAAAAACCCATCCGAGACACCGAAGCTGCACAAGAAGTCCCCGCCGAAAAGGTAATGGTGGGTTTACAGAGGCTTGCTTCCGCTGGACTCTATAGTGAAGGTCTTCTGGCCTAGTGTAGCAAACGGCTGAGTATGGACTCTTCGCGAATGGCTGTGGATCTCAACGCATACCTTTCAACTCTGTACCTCCCAGTATATAGCCCCGCTTAAGTAGATAGAATATGGGGTATATGGGGATCCTAATATAAAAGTCTATCTACTTAAGGGGGGTATATCCCTAAGGATCCAAGTAACCCAAAGACCCTGCAGCCTAAGCCCAGTGCCCCAAACTCTAACCCTAAATCCAAAACCCCTAAAACACTAAACCCCTAAAAACCTAAAAACCCAAAACCCCTAAAACCCTAAACCCCTAAAAACCCCAAACCACTACAAGCCTAAACCCCTAAAAATCCTAAACCCCTAAAACCCCTAAAGCCCTAAACCCCTAAAACCCTCTAAACCTTCTCGCATACGCCCCTGAAGCCTTGCCAGCTGGTCACGTTCACTTCATAACAACTACCATAACTTAGGAGGACCCCCCCCCCACCCTGTAATAGTGACTATAAGGGATAATAAGGATGATATCAGGGTCCTACCCCTAAGGCTCAACATAGCCCAATGTAGGTCATATTTGTACACTTTAGGGCCCAATGTAGGGATTATTTATAGACATAGAGCCCTAGGGTACTAGATTCCTACTATGACCAACGGCTGGTCGCGTAGACTTCATGCCACGTAGAGCCATCCTCGGAGCAATAGATCTTGAAGCGCGTAAAGCTCAGAATTTCCTTGCAGCTGGGGGGTTTAGGAGTTTAAGCTCAGGGATTTAGGGTCTTAGGGGTTTAGGGGTTTAGGGTGTCAGGGGTTTAGGATTTTAGGGGTTTAGGGTTTTAGGGGTTTAGGGTTTTAGGGGTTGAAGGTTTAGGGATTTCAGGGATTAGGGTTTGGGGGTTTAGGGTTATGGTTGGAGGTTTAGGGTTCAGGTTTAGAATACGATGTGGGTTGAGCTAGGGACATAGCATACGCGTGTGTATTTTGATACGTGTTACTTACCAGCGGTTAGTAGAAAATCAACAGAACATATTGCAAGGGAATGAGATCGGGATTATATTCCCTTGTTCCCTGACCCAAACGCTAAATCCTAACCCCCTGAAACCCTACACCATAAAACCCGAAAACCCAAACACCCTAAAACCCTAAACCCTATTTGCCAACAGCAACGTTTCACACTGAGTCAGCTAGGACCCTCCCATGTCTGGAGAAGTAATCTCGGAGCTAGAGGGGTGCAAGGAACCATGTGGAAAAGGGTTTAGGGCTTAGGGTTGAGGATTTGAGATTTAGGGTTGAGGGTTTTAGGGTTTAGGGTTTAGTGCAAGTCTTCTTTAGATTCAGTCCTAAATACCCGTACATAAGGCTTATACGGGGGGCCGGCTACTCACCTGAATGATTAACCTGGCCCTCTGAACTCTCAACCGTAAAGCTGTAAAGCCTAAACCCTGAAATCCTAACCCTAAACCCTAAATCCTAAATCCTGAACCGTAAACCCTGAAACCTAAACCCTGAGCCCCTGAACCACATAGCCTTAAGCATGCAACGGTCACCTAAAACGCTGCAGGGGTTCTTTAATTTCAGTCCGAGCAACAGATCTCAGGATCCGCGGATGTAGAATACTATAAAAGGTCCCAGAGAATTACCAGTATCCTTTTGAGGTCTACTTGAGGTATCCTATACTATGATTATACAAGGCATATGGAAGCATCATATTGGTAACTATGCCCCTATATTATGGTCTTACCTGGGTCGATGGGTGCGGCAAAGGACCACTGTGGGGGGTACTAAAGCCAAAAAGAGCTATAATCTAAACTCCCATTATCCAACTTAATAGGCCCTATAATACTCCCCTACATAATCCCCTGTATAACCCGCCCTTACGGAGTTTAGACCCTAAACCCTAAACCTGAAACCCTAAACCCTAAAACCCTAAACCTTAACCCTTGAACCCTAAACTTTTAGGGCTCATATAACTCCATCTTAAGGAGCTATGACTCTAGGGAGGATTGCCTTAAGGTCTTCCCTTGGGGCTTTAGGGTTTAGGGTTGTCCAAAGTAGAGCCCTGCTTCGGGCGGCCGGAATTCTGGCATTCAGGGTATGTACTAGCAAGGAGAAAAAACACATCCTTTTGAAAGGTCCTTAAAAATAACTTCATACCCTAAACCCCAAAACTTAACTCATGGCTCGATGGAAGTGGGGGGAATGGATCGTACAGTCGTGGAAGATCCTAAGCGCCCAAAGTACTGAACACTAAGCCCGAAGCTCTGAACCCCACACCCGAAACCAACCCAATCCCTTAACCCTAAACCCTAAACCCTGAACCCTAAACCTCCTACCTTTAATCCTAGCCCTAAAAACCTCCTACCCTTAATCCTAAATACTACCCTAAACCCACAACAAGTCTGAGGCAAAGTTAGAGCCCTCAAGCCGATACCCTCAAATTTTAAAACACGCTCTCCCCCAATAACCACCCAATAACCAAGGCTAAAAAGGTTTGAACTTTACTATAGAGACCCCAAAAAAGAAGCCCAACAAAAGTTTGAAGTTCTTCTACTGGCTAAGTAAGAACATGTCCAGGTTCAGAAGCAAAGGAGAAGCCCATGATGTATACCGAAGAGTGAGGCAACATCCAGATAACGTAGTCGAGACAGCGTGGAATGGCTTCAGCGTTCATGGCATACCTGACATTGTTGGATTGGAGTTTAGGGTTTAGGGCTTAGATGTCAGGATTTATGGTTTTGGGTTAGGAGTTCAAAGTTTAGGGTTTATGGCTTAGGCTTTAGGGGAGAAGCCCTAGGCATTCACGTATTGAATATTGCTATGCATCTACCAAAACCTGTTACCTTTACTATTACCAACAGCCCAACCACCCAAGCATTGGGTACTTAGACCTTTAGAGTATCCCCTCTGAATCCCCTCTATATCCCCACATAATCAAAGCTTGCATTTCATCTTCCGCATTCTCCTCCATGTGACTCTCCATTATTGGGGTAATGTCCCAAAAAAACCCTGAACCATAAACTAGAGAAACCCTAAACCCTAAACATAACCCCATTATAGCAATTTGTACTTTCTTTCCCATTATCGCTATATAAGCGTTATGTTGCCTGTATAGACCCAAAAGACGCCTATGTGTACATACCCTTAGAGTCTTCGGCCTCAGGGTTTAGGGTTCAGGATTTAGCTGCTAAACCCTAAATCCTCAAACCCTAAACCCTAACACCCTAAATCCTAAACCCTAAAACTCTAAACCGCACACCCTAAACCCTAACACCCTAAACCCTTAGGGTTCAGGTGTTAAGGTTTTTGGGCTTAGGCTTTTGCACGAGGGCAGAGGCCACTGCAACGCTGCAGCTCTGGTTTCCTTTGAGTAGCATTTTTTGGTGGCTGAACCTAGTAAGATTGTATTCCTTATATAAAAATACTATACCCAAAAGGAGGATATAATCTTACTCTATATTGGGTACCATAGTATCCCCAAATTAAATACTACTCCCTTGAGCCCCATGCAAAGGTCTCGGGTCATGTAGGGTTTACGTAGGGATTAGGGATTAGGGGATTAGGAGATTAGGAGATTAGGGGTTTAGGGGTTTAGGGTTTAGGAGATTAGGGTTTAGGGTTTAGAGGATTAGGGCTAAGGAAAATTAGGAAATTAGGGGATTAGGGGGATTAGGTCTAAGGAAAATAGCGAGTTTATGGGGTTATTATATAAAGGCTCTATGGGGTTCAGGATTTAAGTATGTAGGGGTTATATGGGGTTGCATTGAGGTTGCATTAGGGGCTATATACGGTTTTAGAAGGCTCACATCTTGGCAGCTCCTTCGTTTACCGGCAGCTAAACACAAGTTAGTTCAGAAAGCACGTCAACGCAACAAGCCCTAACCTAAATCTTAAACCCGCAAAGTAACACCGACACCCCAAAAAAAGTAACCTGAGCCCTCCAGGGTTTTGTTTGAAAGAAGTTGTCAAGTTCAAGATACCAGTATGTTGCATCAGCCGGAAAAGGTTGTCTACCTACTACTTCGCAAAGGATCCAGGAACTCGATAGTTAATCGCGGTTAAGGGTTAAGGGTTTAGGGTTTAGGGCCCTAATATTACACCCCCCAACCCCCCCTCTCCTAATATTAAAGATTCCCCATATCCTGTAATAAGTATAATATACCACATACTGGGGAGCATTTATTCTGAAGGGGATTAGGGGGGTGAATACTAGGTTTTACCCTAATATTCAAGACTCCCCATATCCTGTAATAATTAAAATATGGGGAGTATTTCATCTGAAGGGGATTAGGGTGTTGAATACTAGGGGAGGGGATTAGGTACTTCAGGTTTGGGAAATAAATCTAAACCCCAAACCCTTAATCCTAAACCCTAAACACTATACCCTGAACCCTAAACCCTAAATACTAAACCCTGAGTCCTAAACCTTGAACCAGTTGGGAAATAAGAACTCTATGATCTGATGATTGGGTAAGCCTAAAACCTAAACCCTAAGGCCCTAAACCATATGAGTAATACTTTTTGGTGGTTCAACCCAGTAAGATTATATCCCTTATATAAGATACTATACCCCAAAAGGAGGATATAATCTTACTCTATATTGGGTACCATAGTATCCCCAAATAAAATACTACTCATATTGGGCGGCACTTTTACCCTAAACCCTAAGCCCTAAACCCATAGAATACTACTCATATTGGGCACGTGGAACCTCAGGGCTTACCATGATCTGATTACTTCAGGGCTCCGAGCTGTAACTGAAACTAAAATGAGGGTTTAAGGGTTAGGCTTTAGGGCTTTACAGGGTCTTGGATTTAGGATTTAGGCTTTAGGATTTGGCTTTAGGGCTTTAGAGGGCTTCGGATTTAGGGCTTAGGGCTTTAGAGGGTTTAGGGTTTAGGCCCTGGGGCTTAAGAACGTTTAGGATTTAGGGTTTAGGGTTTGAAGTCTAGGATTTAGGGTTTAGGATTGGGGATTAGTGTTTAGGATTTAGGGCTTAGGCTTTAAGGGCCAGAGCCCTACCCCGAAGCCTGACACAAACGAAGCTGAAGCCTTGAGTCCTACACCCCTAAAAGCATATGTGTATATATATATATATGTGTGTGTGTCTATGTATCCATATACATGTATGTGTCTCGTCTAGGGTTTGGGTATATATATATATGTATAGATTTAGGTATTGAAAAAATCCCTATACCCTTTACAATGACCCGACACCCGCAAAAGAAAACAGCAACATCGTAAACATGAACCCTACACGCAAAATCCTAGACCCTTCCGGGACCTCAAAAGCAAGCACGATAGCAATCAGCAGGATCCTTATTCAACATAGTTTGGGCGTCAAAGTAAAAACCCCAAAGCCCTACAACCCCAAATCCTAAACCCCATGCAACCCATTACAGTAGTTTCCATTTTTTCTTTTCCACCCCATATAATCCCAATATACTATAGTACCCTAAACCCTAATCCCTAAACCCTAAACCCTAATCCCTAAACCCTAAACCCTAAACCGCTACAGACTACATCAAGGCACCTTAGGAGGAAAGATGGATCTGCGCTGGCGGATAGGGCGCTGTCCTTGGCTTACTCAGGTTTTGAGTTTCAGGATTTAGGGGCTTGGGTTTAGGTTAGGCTTGGGATTTTCGGGATGTCGGGGTTTAGGGCTTAGGGTTTAGGCTTTAGGACTTGAGGTTTATAGGGTTTAAAGTTTAGGGTTTAGGGAACACCCGACCCTGAACCAAAATGAAGGCCCGCCACAGGAGGGTAAAGTCTGCTACAGGCATTCGACAGAACTCGAAATTACAAGCTACGAAGTCTTCCAGAAGTCCTTGCGGTGAAAAAAAAAACTTCGCAGCCTATAACGGTTTGTTCTCAGATTTGTGGGCCTTTTTGTTTATAGCTTATAATACGACACCTAATACTGAGGGTTACCCAAAACGGACCTGGGAACTACCCAAATGCTCACCTAGTTTCGCTCCTGAACTCTGCAGCATTGCGCCCTAAGGCCCAGATCCCTAAACCCCAAACTCTGAAACCTCAACTTTACAACCTATAGTCCCCCTTAAGTAGATAGAATATGGCTTTGGGTATATTTTAATAAGATCCCCATATACCCCATACTCTATCTACTTAAGGGGGACTATAGACCCCAAGCTCCTCGACTCCCCCTCCCTGAGAGTTTAGGGTTTAGCGCTCTGAACATGCATGCCCTGAGGTTCAACGTCGTCCTGCGAATCGCAAACACACCCGCCCTGTGAGGCTTACCTGGACTCCAAAAGTAGGAAAAGTCATAGCCCCAAACCCTACCAAAAACGCCCAAAAGGCAGTTTGTTGCATACTTTTGGGGTTCAGGGAATATCCACGGAAAACGCCTGCATGTTTCACATTAGAGGGTGCAGGGTGTGTAAGGTCTTCAAACCCTGGAGCCTTACACCGTGAAACCTTGGGTTTAAGGTTTAGGATTTAGATGGATTTAGGGTTTTAGGGTTTAGGATTTAGGGTTTTAGGGTTTAGGGTGTAGGGTTTAGAGTTTTAGGGTTGAGGATTAGGGTTTTGGGTTTAGGCTTCACCCTCAACCCCAAGCCCTGAAACCTAACCAAGGTCTAGAAATGTCCCAGGAACTGGTCCAAGCACAAGGGACACCCAGCACCCCAGAAAGGCACCCGTCTTTCCCGCCTTTTCCTGAGCAAAGTGGGGCGTCAATGGTAGGGTGTAAGGTTTCGGGTTTAAGGTTTCGTGTTTAGGGTGCTTAGGGATTAAGGGAGGAGTGATGGAAACAACCATAACGATCAAGAGTCTATCTGAGCGGTTAGGGGCTTTAGGTCTTTTCCTCTATTACTGTTGGGGCTCAGGGACTGTTAGGGGTTCAGGGCTTCTGTATTCGTGGTCTTAGGGCCCAAGGGCTCAAAAAAGGTTCAGAGTTTTGGGATCCAGGGTTTTTGGCTTTGGCCTTCGATGCTTCGTGGGCTTGTGCTTCGCGTGACAGGGCATCTACACCTGTGCAAGTTTGACTGCCCTAAACCCTAGCCCTAAATCTGTGTATGAAAGCATGTCTAGTTCCAGTACTAGTCAGGAAACAGCGTTCATTCGGTGCTAGACGGTCGACTTGGGCCATAGTAGCCCCACCCCCCTCTACACCCTGAGTCCCCCTCAGACCCTCTATCCTAAACCTTCAGCCCTGAACCCTACAAGGCGGCTGTTGATAATGAAGCAATCCTGCATGACCTGGGTATAAAAGAGTACCATAATTCTGAAGGTACAGGATATATGGTCATGCAGGAGTTTTCGTATCCACCATATCCCCATATTTTGCACATCTATACCGTATACCCTATGATGGTACCTGTACTCACTCCATACAGGCCCCCTCGAGCATGAATGGATGAAAACACCATATGACATGCAAAATCAAAGGGGCTCATACTCAAACTGCCAAGGCCCTGAACACTGAATACTCAACATTTAGCCCAGGACCCTAAGCCATTGAACTGAAGAGGCTCATAGTCCAACCACAATGACTTCAGAACATCGTTGCTATGAACGGGCGTGCGCCTCCAAGCCGGATTCAGACCTGCTAGGCGGCAGAACAAAGATAAAATCTTGACATTTTGCCACGTTGTGGCCCTGAAAGATGGTGCGTTCAAAACGTGCAGGGTAACCCAAGTAAACTGCATGAAATGGCGCAAGCTTTCCTCATGTCGGCTTCTGAAAGTGTAGTGGTGACTCCGAAGGGCACGTTGCATAGATTCATAAGCATACAAGGCTCGAGGTTGAGGATTTAGGGGCTTATGGTTACGTGGGAACGTGCTAATTGTCACCATGGCTATGGGGTATAACTGCGCCTATAAAGAAGCAAAAAACAAAACTCGGATGACCTTAAACCCTCAAAAAACCAGTGAACCCGAAGGCACAATCCTTCTTATCCTGCAAAAACCCAGCATTTCTGCGTTTTCCCAAACGCAGACCACCCTAACCAAACTGACATGGAACTCTAAACGGGGATTTGCGTAGAGCACTATGATTTACGAGCGAGTTACATTGGGCTCCATGCCTTTTGGGAGAAGGTAAACCGCAACAGCAGCCCAGCCACGCGCGATGTGTTTGTCAGTGGTAGCTTGAAACAGATCTGCGTCGTCGTCCATCTCTTCCTGCAGGCACCATCTGCAAAAACGGTGACTTTGGAATTCTCAATGCTACTCCCAAACTCGCAGCCCCAACCCCGAAACGCCAGGGTAGGGAGGCATTATTTGAAGTGTTCATTGACAAGGGACAAAAAATTCGAGACTCTTGCTACCCTCGATCATCACACGCTTCTTCTTGCTATAGCCCAGACGATAAAAACCACATTGAATGCAACGCGGGTGTATTGTATGGTTGTAAGATGACGTCAGGAACGTCCTGGACCGCCTGCTAGACCCGGTGCCTCCTTGCTCTGCTCGGGGGCTTAGAATTTAGCAAATAGGCTTGTGGGACCTAGCAAGTAGGTTGGGGGAAAAAAAAAGCAGGCCACACCCCAATTAGGGGACTTGCAAACCCGTCTACAACACATTCACTAGGTCCCCGGAGCCTGTATGTAACGTTCGGGGCTATTTGATAACCTGAGAATGCAACTCAAAAGACCAAAGCAGAGTTCTGAACCTAAAACTTCCTATCCGCGAACACGATTGCTTAACAAGACACACGCGTGCTGTTTCCAAAGTTGCTGGTCCTGGAACGGTAAAATCAACGAACTTCCCATGGGAATTGTTGGGTTTGCTGAAAGTTTTTAGAGCGCAGCTCTTTTTGCTATGCCCCTTTCTTCAAAAACGGCCATGACAAAATTCGGGAAACTCATCCATCCATTTAAGATGCGATCAGACTAGATGCACTAAGAACCCTGCAGCTCTGGGCCTAGCGGCTGTTATGCGCCACACCGGTATTCATTGGATTCCCGTTCGTGCCGCTTCAGGCCTCATGCCGAAAATTCGCCGAGGCATCCAGCCTCAGGGCGTTCAGATCCCTTTGAAAACCCCCTCTACTCCCCCCTTGCAGACATGCTTCAGCCGGTGGCCTAGTCCAGCCTGACCATCCCGCGTGAAATTTCAGCCTCGCCCAAGTTCGAGGCTTTGGCGGTACGCGGCGGGGCGCATTTCTCGTTCCAAAGCCACCGGGATTCTGGAGGTCCCTGGAGCCCCCTGGAGGCCTCTGGAGGCCCCTGGAGGCCCCTGGAGGCCCCTGGAGGCCCCTGGAGAGGCCTGGAGCCCCTAGAACAGCCCTGCAACCCCCACATGCATGGAGTAACATCTACAGACCCTAATATATACTATGGCTTACAATAAATACAATGATGGGTTTCGCGTTTTGGGTACACGTAATTGCCCGAAGAACGCCTATCAACCCGCAAGACGGAACCCTAAACCC